CGCACCCAGGGCTCCCCCAGATCCGCGCGGACGCGGCTGCGGCCAATGAGCGCGCTCGCCGTCTCCGGGAGCCGGGCCGGCTCTGCCCGCCTGGCATTGGGCACGCGGTGGGCAGCGGAGGGCGGAGCCTGGGGGGTCCTCGCGCCTGGTTGGGCCAGGCTTGTTGCTGGGTAACGGGGCGGCGAGTTTCCCCTGGCAACGGCGGCGGGTACCGCTCACTGGCTGGCCGCGGAGGAGGGGGGGCGCGGGCGCAGGCAGGCCCCGCAGACCCCAGCAACAGCGCGCGGCCCCCGCCCCGCCGGGAAGCGGTAACCTTCACACGCGCGCCGGCCGCTCGGACCCCGCGGACTCCCGCGGACTCCCGCGCCCCCGCCCAGCACCCCCGCCGGCTCGGTTCGGCCGCAAAGAGGGGGACCCAGGAAGCCCCCTCCACATCGGCGATGGCCAGAGCTCAGGCCCTGCAGTGAAAAGTTAAGTCCTTCCTAACTCTCCCTTCCTAGAGGCTGCTGGGGACCAGATCTTGGGTGAAGACTGGGGGGAGGAGGGGATGGGGGAGTGTCAGGAACTCATGGGGACATCATTTCACATGGAGCCTGCTACTGCCGGGCACTGTTTAAAGTATGTCACAAATCCTGACCCATTCGGTCTTCACAATATGTGTGGGCCTATGGTTGTGCACATGGGGAAACTGAGGCAGGCACAGAAAGAGGAAGCTACTTGCTCAAGGTCATCATTTGACCTAAGGAGCTGGCTCCAGACACTGGGTACAGTGTGCTGAGAGTGCTTCAAAGGGAGAAACTGTGGGTCAACCAAAGCACACTAGAGGCTGGCCCTCAGGCTAACAGTTCAAGACCCCTACCTCAGCCTGAAGGTCTTAGCTTGACAAGGCCCTTGTTAGGAGTCTCAGTGTTAATGAACCCCACTCTGATAGTAGTAATAATGGCAGACATGTATTAAGCACCCACAAGCCAGACACAGGGGCTCACACCTGTCCCAGCTAGTTAGGGGGCTGAGATGGGGGAGAATCAAAGTTTGAGACCAGTACAGGCAAATAGCTCACAAGACCCCATCTCTAAAATAACCAGAGCAAAATGGACTGGAAGTGTGGCTCAAGTGGGAGAGCTCTTGCTTGGTAACTTGAAACCCTGAGTTCAAACCCCAGTCCCACCAAAAATAAAAAAAAAAGCACCCACTGTACCCCAGTACTTTGACCTCACTCACATTGAAGTAAGGATGAGTTAGACCAGAGATCTGATCACTTGCTCAACAACACACAGCCTGAAGATGGAGAGTTGGGGATTGCACAGAAGCCATTTAAACTGAGTTCCACCTCTTTAGGGAGGCCTACAGGTTTTAGGGGGGGCTGGGCCACAGCTGTGGGGACCCTGACTCATGTCCCTTGGCCAATTGTTCTCGACTGGGGTGATTTGGCCTCCTGTTATTTAGGTTTTAAATTCATTAGTGTAGACAGACTGGGGTTTTATTTGTTTGTTTTTGCAGTGCTGGGGATGGAACCCAGGGCCTCACACATGTTAAGCAAGTGCTCTGCCACTGAACCACACCAACCCTTCTGTAGGGACAATTTGCATTTCTGGAGACATTTTTTGTTGTCACAAAGGGAAGAGGTGCTCAGACATCTAGAGGGTAGATGTCTTCCTACAATGCCCAAGACTGTTCCTAAGATACAGGTGTCATTAGAGCTGAGCTGGCAAACCCCTCGTCTCTCTCTCTGCCTCTCTTCCTCTCTCTCTCCTTCAGATTCCCTCTACTCCCCTGCTCCTGTCTTCCTGTCTTCCTCTGTCTGTGTCTCCCTTTCCTTCTGTCTCTCATCTTCTGTCAGTATCTGTGGCCAGCCACTTAAAGCTTCAAACCCCCTATGTCCCTCACTAGGGGAGCAGAGTTAGAAGAAATTCTAGAATTCTCCTCCAGGATTTTAAGTAGTCCTGTTAGGGTAAAGGGGGAGGGGACTTAATCTGGAAGATAGATGTGGGGCCTACTCCCTTCTTATGACCCCAGGGTGACTCAAAAACGGCAGCCCTGGACCCAACCATGAACTTTTTTCTTTGCCTACAGTTTTAAATTTTGAATTTGCATGCCTTTAGAAGGAACACATACTTTCCAATTAGCCACAGTCCCCACTATTCCCTGTTGTCTCACATTGGGCTCACTTCTCTCATTTATTTCATGATGGCTCTTATTTATTTATTTATTTATTTATATTACTTATTTATGGCAGTATTGGGGTTTGAACTCAGGGCCTCACACTTGATAGGCAGGTGCTCTACAACTTGAGCCACTCCACCAGCTCATGAAAGCTCTTGACTTTGAGATCCCTGCTCAGCAGTGATAGGATGTCAGACTTTGGAACAGGTCGGGAGGATCTGGACCTTGACTTACTAACTGTGCTGAGGGCCTGTAGATTATTGGGCCTCACCTCTCTCCCACCACCAGCCACCAAGCCAGATTCCCACTGCCTGTCACACTCATTTTCTCCTCCTCCTCCTCCTCCTCTGCTCTTCCTTGGCAGTACTGGGGTTTGAACTCAGGGCCTCACACTTGCTAGGCAGGCTCTCTACCACTTGAGCCACTCCCCGAGCCCAACACTCATTTTCTTCTCAGAAGAATATTCCAGGGCTGAGCATGGTGGTACATATCTGTAATCCCAGCTTCTCAGGAGGTGGAGACAGGAGGGTCATGGTTCAAGGTGAGCCTGGACAAAGTTAGCAAGAGACTCTATCTGAAAAACAAACAACTGGGGATGCAGCTCAGGTGGTAGAGCGCCTGCTGGCAAGCACATGTCGCTTAGTTCAAACCCCAGTGTCACAGTGAATAACAGATAAATACGAACATTTCAGCATGTCTGGCAGCCTGAGGGCAGCCACAGAGCAAACACTGACCTCAATTAGTTCCACTAATGATCACTGCAAATATTTATTCGGTGCCTACTGTGTGTCAGACCCTGCACTAAATGACCTCCACACTTGATGTCACTTAATAAATCCAAAACATTTCCCCAATGTCTCTGAACTTGATCTACAGCCAGAAATGTACCTTGTTTGCAATCTCCTATGCATTCACCATGTATTAATAAAAGTTTTACAAAAGAACACTTTCTCTTGACTTCATGATTTGTATATGTATATTATTCTGAATTTTTGAGGTGTTGGGGATTGAACCCAGGGCACACACACACACACACACACGCACATATATTTGTTGGTGGGGCTAGAGTTTGAACTCAGGGCCTCATGTTTGCTAGGCAGGCATTCAGCCAGCCCTGTTTTTTTGTGATGGGTTTTTTTCAAGATAAGGTCTTGTGCACTATTTGCCCAGGCTGGCCTTGAACCTTGATCCTCCTGATCTTTGCCTCCTGAGTAGCTAGGATTACAGGTGTGAGTCACTGGTCCCCGGCCTGCCTCAATCTCCATACTTTTGTCAAAACTCATCAAAGTGTCTTAAAAAGACTGCATTTTATTTTGTGTAGATATATCTCAATACGCTTGAATAAAAAGCAGCACAGTGGTATAGCAACTGCCTGGCACTGGGAGGCCCTGGGTTGATCCTCAGCACCAAAACAAAAACAAAACAGGGAGAAAGGAAGGGGGTGGATGAGTTAATGGGGAAGCGAAGTAGAAGGCTGAATTACTCCCTGATATTTAAAACAGAGATTTCTGTGAATTTAGCTTTCTGGCTTTTGAAAGGGAAACCCAAGGATCTGGCCTGGAGGTCAAGTTTAGGGACTTGGACTGGTTTTGCTCAGGTCCGTCAGGCTGTTTCTCAGCCAGCCCAGGGCTGGGCACCCAGAGGTGAGGGTAGGGTGACTTAGTTTGATGAGAACTGGAGGGAACAGAAAATGCAGATGAGGCAGAAGTCCTGTGCTCTGGGGGGAGGGACAGTCACAAAGTCAGAGCAGAGGAAGGAAGTGACGATGTGAAACCAAAAGGAGAAAGGGAACAGAAAGCCAGCAGACAGCAATGAAATTGAGTGTGGGGGCTGCCCGGGCATGTTCGTGCCAGGTGCCCAGGGTTGCCTCCTGTGGGTGGGCCCACGCCCTATTTGTGTGGAGCCTGGCTAGGTGTGCACAGTCTGGAGTATGTCCTGCCAGTGGGCCAGTTAGCAGGAACCTGTCACAGGTGTGACTTTGGGACTGCGTGTGTATGCATGGTGGTCCGAGTGGATCTATGTCTGAGGATGGTTTTTGGATTACATCAGTGTTTTAAGCTTGCCATCCAGTGGGTGTGTTTTGTGTGTCCCTGTGGCAGTGTGTGCTTTGGATTGGGTTGTGTGTCCAGGTGTTGCTCTAACAGGTGTGTGTGTGGGGAGGGAGGTGTCCTGCTGTGCCTGTCAGGAAGTTGTACTTCCGCATCGGTAGTCAGCGGTGTGTTGGGGACTCCTGCTGGGTGGGATGTTTGGGAACACAGTTTGGGGGATCGTGTTGTGCTCATCGGTGTGGGTCGTTTGTGCGACTCCGTGTGTGCCTGTCACTGTGTTTAGTCTGTGTGTGAGGGTGACCCCCCCCATCAATGGCTCAGGCTGAGTGCTGTGCGTGTGTCTGGGTGTGTGCGCCCCAGAGTGCCTTGATGAGAATGGCCCTGTGTCTGAGTCTGTCTGTCCCCGTGGTCCTCTGCACGTGACTTTGTGTACCCTGGAGCGCCAGTCTGCGTGCTGGCCACGATCCGGTCTCGGGGTGTGTGTGTCTGTGGGTCCCAGTCAGTGTGTCAGTGTGTCAGCGTGTGTCCAGCGATCCGGGTGTCTCGGCGTCCCCAAGGCGCCCTCCTCGCCCCGGGCCAGGCCCTGCCCCGCCCCCGGCTGCAGGGAAACCCCCGCGCGCGGAGCTAGGGGGCGCGGCGCGCGCCTGCAAGCCCCGACTTGTCCGCGGCGGGCGGGCGGGGCCGCGGCGTCACGCGGGGGCGGGGCGTGGGACCCGCCGGGCGAGGGCGGGGCGGGGCGGGGCGGGGCGGCCGCCGAGCGGGCCCGGGAGCCGCCGGGCGGCCAGAGACGCTGCGCGAGCCACATGCCAGCGGGCGCCTGGAGGAGGCACTAGCGACATCGGCAGCGGCCACCACGACGCGGACGCGTCTGGGGTCCGAGCAGCAGCAGTGGCAGCAGCAGAAGCAGCCGTCGCCACCACTGCAGTTAGAGCGGCCGCGCCAGGAGCAGCAGCAGCAGCAGCAGCCGCCGCAGCGAACGGCGATCGGCGGGCGCGCCCTCCTGAAGGAAGCCGCCCGCCCCCCATCACTGCCCCCTCCGGCGTGTTCATGCCCCCGGGGTGAGTGTGAGCACCCCGAAACCCCACCGGCATCGATCGCCCAGGACGGGTGGGCTCCCTGGAGGAGGTGACTGGGAGTGCACTAGGAGAGCGGCCGGGGGCGCACTGCGTCCCCACATGTGCCGCCCCCAGCCTTCACCAGGGGACCCCGGCTGGGCTCGCTGGGCGGGAAGCTGTTCGGCGATCGGTCTCCCCACTGTCGGGGCGCACAGGTGCCCCAGCGGTCTGGCGGGTTTGTTTACAAACAATGGGGTGCAGGCACTCCAGCGCCCTCTGGTGGCCAGTGAGGCACGGGGAAGAGAGTCGACTCCAGGTTGCCCCAGCTCCCCAGATGCCCGAGAAGGGGGTCCGGGGGGGGGTGGCACCGAGGGGCGGCCACACCCAGGGCGCGCGCCCGCTGGGGGCGGCGACAGGGGGCGGCTCGCGGGCCGCGGAGTCTGCGGCTCCTGCGGGCGGGGGCTGCGCCCCAGCAACAGCCGGTTATTGGCCCCGCGCTCGCTTGGCGGGCGGGGCGGGCGCACGTGGCGGCGGCGGTGAGGGGGGCTGTGACAGCGGAGGGGGGCGTCTGGGACCGCCGTGGGAGCGCGCGTGTGCGGGGTTGTGGATCTGCAGGTGTCTCGCCTGGGTGTGTGCGTGTCTAGCTCCGAGTTTGGGCTAGGGTCTGCAAAGGGAGTGGTTGTGTCAATCCAGAGGAATGTGGCATTTGTGACCCGTCGGGGTGTATCCGTGAGTCTCTGCGTGCTTGCGTGGACTTCTAACCGTGGGGTGCACCTGTGTGTGTGTGTTCTCGGAGTTGCCTGTGTGTGCTGGCTGGGGGCCGTTCTGTGGGTCTGTGGCTTGTGTGCACCCGTGGCGTGTAGTTGTGATGTGTGTGGCTGGAGCGAGGGGAGTGTTTATTGCGAGTCTTGCCCAAGTGTGCGGGGTGTGTGTGCTTGCGTGTGGCTGGCTGTCTGCATGTGTCTCCTGAGCTTGTGTCTTCCCCGTGCCCGCTGGCTGCTGTCTGTCCAGGTGTCTGAGTTCCGTGTGGAGGGCACTGGGGGTTGTCTCAGTCTGTGTTTGGCTGCTGTGTCTGACATCGGTGTCTGGGAATAGGGGACCGAGGCTCTAGGGGGTCTATGCAGTGCCAAGGGTGGGTGTTGCTGGCAGCCTGAGCCCTGAATGTGTGTGTGTGTGTGTGTGTGTGTGTGTGTGTGGTGCATAGGGTCTGAAGGCTTGTCACCGATCGCAGGCTCCTGTGTGTCATGTGGCTGTGTGTGTGTAGTGTTTATGTCAGTCACGTGACACCAGCGCTTTAGGTGTGTGCTGTGGGCTGTGGTGGATTAGTTAGCTGTGTTGTGTGTGTGTGTATGTGTGTGTGTGTGTGTGTGCAATGACAATTGGTGATGGTGTTTTCAGGTTGGGAGAGACCAGGTTATGTCTGTGTTCTGTTGGGCTGGGGCTGTGTGTGTCATAGCCGGCAAGAGTGGGGATGCATCTGGGTCTGATGACATGTGTCTCTGTGTGCCTGGGGGCTGAGAGTTGGTAGCATTCAGATGTGGTTTGGTGCTGTGGAGCTGGTCTGTTTTGGGTTGATGGGTGTGAGTCCTAAGGAGTGTGTGTGTGTATGGAGAGGGGCTGGTTGGAGACTTGTGGCAGTGACTGTGTTGTGTGTTGCAGCCTGGGTTTGAGGGCTGCATTGTGTGTGTGTGTGTGTGTGTGTGTGTGTGTGTGTGTCCCTGGGCAGATCAGCGGAGGGCCAGTGTGAGATCTGAGACTGTAGATGTGTGTCTGAGCGGAAGTGGGTATGAGGTGCCAGTCAGTGTGGTGTGCAGTGTGGCAGTGTATGGAGAGGGCTGTGATGGTTTGTGCGTTTGTATATCCCCTTGCTGAGTATCAATGTCCCATATCAGTGTGTGCCTGGGGGAGGCAAGCTGGCCAGTTGTGTTGAGTCTCTGTGTGTCTGTGCTGTGACCCGCCCCCCAGCACTCTTCTCCATTTGGTTGGTGTGGGAGCCCAGGCTGTCCTGCGTCCCTTCATAGTGTTAGGAAAAGTTGTCCCCTCCAGCCCATGCCCTGTGTGAATCCCAGCTACAGTGACTTTGCCCTGTGGGATGGTGACAAACCCCAGAGGCATACACAGACACACCCCCATCTGGGTCCTGTACCCATACAGCGTGGATGGGAGGCTGTCCTAGCCAGCCTGCCCCTTGTATCTTCCCCTACTGGGCTGTCTTGTGGGGGTCTCCCCATCGCACCCCTCTTCCTTCCCTGGTGTGCGTGGTGTGAGTGGTGTGTGAACCCGGGTGTGCGCACTGGGGACCTGGCCCCCAGGCACTTCCCCTCTGACCTCCCCTACTCCCGTGTCCCGCAGGCCCCAGGGAGCGCCATGGCCCGCGCACGCCAGGAGGGCAGCTCTCCGGAGCCCGTAGAGGGCTTAGCTCGCGACGGCCCGCGCCCCTTCCCGCTCGGTCGCCTGGTGCCCTCGGCCGTGTCCTGCGGCCTCTGCGAGCCGGGCCTGCCCGCCGCCCCAGCCGCCCCGGCCCTGCTGCCCGCCGCCTACCTCTGCGCCCCCACCGCCCCGCCCGCCGTCACCGCAGCCTTGGGGGGCCCCCGCTGGCCTGGAGGTCCCCGCAGCCGGCCCCGAGGCCCGCGTCCGGATGGTGAGTGCCCGGCCCACACCCGGGATGATGGCAGCCGGGGAAGCGAGGCCCGGAGCCCCCAGGAACTCCAGGGGGAGCGGAGGGGGCGGGGGCGAGCCGCGCATAGCGGGGCCACTGCGAGGGTGTGGCCAGTGTGGTCTTTGTGTGGCGAGTAGCAGGAAGACCGAGTGGGAGCCGGGATGGAGGGGAGGTCGGGTGGGAAGTCCCTCCTGGAATCTGACTGCAGTCCCCGAGTTTGCAGCCTTGGGCGACAGCTGTGTCTCAGCTCCCCTCCCCCCCAGTCGGGGTCCCCGAGACCCCTCCCCGGAAGGTTGTAGTGGGAAAGAGTAGGCAGGGTGGGGGTGACTGTCACCTCTGGACTTTTGGGAGGGGTTGAGAGGCCTTTCGCCTTTATTTGCAGGTCTTTGGTCAGAGCTGGCCCCCTCCGCAGTCCCCGCGGAGAGAGGAAGGGGGGGAGGGGCATTGTGTTGGGAAAGTCCCCTTGGGGAGAGGGGGAGTCTCGGGAAGGGAAGGGTTAAAGGTCCCCTGCCTGATGGGCTGTTAACCCCGTGGTTCCCGGCAGAGGGGCGGATTGTCCTGGCTTCCCGTCCCATCCCCCACACACAGTCCCCAGAGCCCAGCCGGGTAAGGCGAGAGAAACTTCGAAGCTCACTTCCTGAAGGCCGGGTGGGGGACCCCCGATTTCAACACCAGAGTCACAGATGGGGAAACTGAGGCCCTCCTGCTAGGATCTGATGTGGTAGGAGGGAGACAGTCGAGAAACCCAGCAGGGGGTGGGGCAAGAAGGCATCTCCTGTATCCCAGCCCCCAGGCCATCCTTACCGGCAGCCACAGTCTGGCCTTCTGCTGTCCAGGCCAGTGCCACATCCGGAGGTGTGGCCTCACTGTGGTTGGACAGGAGCGAGCTGGAGACCTGAGGCTTGTGACTCTGGGTGGGGTCAGTCGTGTATCCCTGTGTGACCTTGGGCCACTTCTTAGGTTGGGCCTCAGTTTCCCGCTCTACCATAGAAAGCAGGCAAGAGCTGGCCTTGTTTGGGAATAGGGTTACTTAAGTCGGATAAGATGAGGGACTTCCCGACAGACTTGGGCATTGGAGACATAGCTGGTCAGACAGGTGGCCCCAGGCCTTCTCTGGCTTTCTAGAGCCCGGGGAGGAGGAGCTGAGAAGTCTGGGTGAAAGAGACTGGGGGTGGGAGGGGAGGTTGGGGAATCACCAGAAATGAGGGGAGCAGAGGAGAAAGCAGGTGTCTGGTTAAGCGAGATGCAGGCACTGGTGACCTGGGTTCCTCTCGGACCCCTCCTGGCCGAGAGGGATGGCAGGTGGTGACCACGCCCCTCTGCCTCTCCAAGGTCCTCAGCCATCACTATCACCAGCCCAGCAGCACCTAGAGTCACCCGTGCCCAGCGTCCCGGAGGCCCTGGCGGGCGGCCCCACCCAGGCGGCCCCCGGAGTCCGGGGGGAGGAGGAGCAGTGGGCCCGGGAGATCGGGGCCCAGCTGCGGCGGATGGCGGACGACCTCAACGCGCAGTACGAGCGGCGGGTGAGTGCGGGGGAGGGGCAGCGACAGGTGGGACTTTCCGCCCCCCGCCAGATGTGCGGCAGCTGCTGCCCTGAGCCGCGGGGTCGCGGCGGGGACAGGCAGGTGGGGGGCGGGGCGGCGGGGCCGGGGCCGCGGCGATGACTGCAGCGCGCCCGGGGCCCGCGGCTGCGGGGACTGAGGGCGGCGCTCGGCGCGGTGGCTTCTATATCCCGGGCTATTTATAGCCGGTGAGTCAGCAGCGCGCCGTGGCCGCGCCCGCCCCGCCCTCCCTCCTTCCCTCCCGCGGTCGCGCGCCCGCGCAGCCCGCAGCGCTCCCCGCGGCCCGGCCCCGCCCCTCCCCGCCTGAGAGCCCCGCCCCTCCCCGGAGCCCCGCCCCCGCCCGGTCCAGCCAGGCCCGCAATCCGAAACACTGGGGAATCCCGCAGCAGAGAGCCGATTCCCAACCCCCTGTGCCCACCGCCCGGCTCTGTTCACCCTGATCATTGCACCTGCATTGTTTGCTTATTTAAAAAGCAAGCCGAAAACAAACCCGATCGTCGCACCGAGGTGTTGAAGCCACTTGGTCGCCTCCCTCCTTCGCAAGCAGACTGCTGTCTCTTTCCTTGTCCCCGGCCAGGGCTTCTTTTACTGTGCACTTAAGTGCTTGGCATTGTGGGTGGTTTCAGCTTAGCACCCTTGAGCTAGTGCGTTCCTCTCCTCATGGCTCCTGTCCCCTCCCTGTCCTGAAGGAGAGTGATCCATTCGGACAAAGGTGTCTATTTACTGCGACATGGTATCCCGTGGAGTCAACAAAGTATCCATCTTCGCTTCCCTATTCGTGAATATTTAGGATAGATTTTTAAATGTATTTCAAATTTTGATTGGCTTTATTTTTCTCTTCCAAACAATGCACACGCTGTTGGGTGTGCCCATGGACAAATGTCCCCAGAGGGATTTGGGGGCTCTGTGCCCTCCCTGCTTGGCCTAACTAGATGAATGTACCACGGTAGCATCTCATAGTAGTGACAGTGGCAAGTGTCCTGACCTATACCAAGCTGACATGCCCTCTTTGTCACCTTCTCATGGTGGCAAGAGCGGGCTGAGAGGCAGGGACTGGTCCCAGGCACACTCCCCAGGTTCCCATGGGGGACCCTGGGATCTTGGTGGAACAGCTGTAAAGTGAGCTGCTTCCTAGGGGATGAGTCAGGTGGCCCTGCTGGTAGGGGATTACATCCTGTGCCACCACGCCCACTCTTCATACAGTTTTTAGTACTGCCCTTCATTTTTACAGGGTGGGACCAGTATTTTGGAGCAGAGAGGGTCCTACAAGCCATCCCCCATCTTCATTCTGTCATCAGGAAGAGGGCAAGAGTTTCCCTGTGGTCTCACTGACCCCAGCTTTGTCTCAAATCCACTTCTTGGTAGCTTTAGCACAGATGGGGAACTTTTCCTAGTGTTCCTCCTTCTAGAAAGTGCTGAGACTATGGGCTCCCTGCTTTCTTCATTGTCCCAACCAGCCTTAAAGGGCCAAGCAGGATAGGTTGCAATCCAGCTTGTCCCTCAACCCCTATATGAGGTGGTGGGTGACTTCCACACCTGGAACACAGAGGGGAGGAGGTCACAGGCAACTTTTGAGCACTTGCTGTGTTGTGGGAATTGTTCCTGTCCTCTCCCTCCTAGGTGAGGACATGACCCATCCTGAGAGGGGGAGACTGGTCTGGGTGGGTGGCAGAGCTCCAACAGGGTTGGTGAGGGTGTGGTGCTGTCATGGGAGCAAGTCTCCATCCTCCTTGCCCTTCACCCAGCCACCCACTCCCGGGTCACTGTCCGGGTACTAAGTGTTTTCCTCTCTCTCTAGAGACAAGAAGAGCAACAGCAACACCGCCCCTCGCCCTGGAGGGTGCTGTACAATGTCATCATGGGACTCCTGCCCTTACCCAGGGGCCCGGGAGCCCCGGAGATGGAGCCCAATTAGGGTGCCTGCACCCGTCCGGTGGACGTCGGGGACTTGGGGGGCAGGACCCTCCCGCCTCCTGACGCCCTGGCCAGCGCGGGGGACTTTTTTCTGCACCATGTAGCATACTGGACTACGAGCCCTGCCTGTCTCAGGGGGCCAGGGCAGCCACTCCAGCCCCGGCCAGCCTGGGGGCACTGATGGAGACTGGACTCCTGGGCCCGGGCTGGATGTCCCAGGAGGGATCTGAAGGCGGCGGTGACCAAGGGAGTGGGGACTGAGCCACCTGCCTCTGCCGCCCAGCATCATCTCAGGAAAGGCTGTTGGTGCTGGCTGCCCCTTCCAGCTACAGGGGGGACGCTGGGGTCTCCCCAGTGCGCCTTCATTTTGGGCCTGGCCTCAAGGCCCCTGGTGCTTCCCCCCCCTCCTCCCTGGGAGGGGGCCCGTGAAGAGCAAATGAGCCAAACGTGATCACTAGCGTCCTGGAGCCAGAAAACGGGTGCTTGTGACGGCCCCCCACCCAGCGCCCAGCCATCTTCCCTGAGCCGCCGGCGGGCGGTGGTCATGCCTGCCTCACCTTCATCTGGGGGTGGCCAGGAGGGGCCCAGACTGTGAATCCTGTGCTCCGCCACCACCCCTGTCCCCATCAGTCCCATTGCATAGGTTTAGAGAGCACGTGAGATCACTGGCGTTCATTGGGGGGGTGGGAGATTTTGGCGGAAGCCGCCCCAGCCTTAGTCCCCCAGGGCCAAGCGCTGGGGGAGAAAGATGGGGTACAGTGGGGAGGGGGGAGTCTCAGAAGAGGGCGGAGTCTGGGAGCGGGGAGGGGTGGCCCAGCCTGTAAGATACTGTACATTCACTGCTGTAGATACTGGAATGAATTTTCTGTACATGTTTGGTTAATTTTTTTTGTACATGATTTTTGTATGTTTCCTTTTCAATAAAATCAGATTGGAACAGTGGATACTCTTTTTGCTCGCCTTCCCCATGCCTGTGCTGTGGGCCAGAGGCTCTGTGGCCCCCACTCTGGAGGGTGGAGAGGATGGTGTCCCATGGTGTGCCAGCCTCACACTGCCTGCTCATGACCCTCTAGGTTTTTAAGGCTTTGACCTTGTTCAACATTCCTGGGTAAAGGGTGCTGTGGGGGTTAATATTTATTGAATGACTAAATGACCAGGAACTTATTCAGAAGCCCACTGGGCGAAGTGCTGGGAGGTGTTGGCCAGGATCAGGCCTTGGCCTTGACCTTGTGGAGGTGGAAGGTGACATCTAGCCTGGCACTGATCTGCCTCTGTGGCTACAGGTGCATCTGCAGCTGCGATCACAACGAGCTGACGTCTACAAGGTGCCCCAAGAAACCTGTGTTGAATGCCTAGTAAAAAGTAGTTCTGGTTGTTTTGGCAGTACTGGGGTTTGAACTCAGGCCTTTGCAATTCCAAGGCAGACCCTCTACTACTGGAGCTATACCCCTAATCTTTTTTGTTTGTTGGTGTTCAGATAGGGTCAGGCACTGTTACCCAGGCAGGTCTCAGACAGCAATCTTCTTACCTCTGTCCCCCAGAGCAACTGAGATTACAGGTTACACCACCATGCTTGCTGTTGGAATTTCTAGTAACTGCCCGAAAGCTGGTCCAGTGCTGTCCTAGGGCTTTCTACCAGGCCAGCTGGCACAGAACCCAAAAAGAAGCAGTGGGTAGGACACCTGTGGTCACAGGTTCAGACACCAGTTCTACCCCTTCCTGGGGCAGGCGAAGCTCAGGTGACATGGCCTTCCTCCTAAAAGGACAGGGTGTGGCAGTTGGGACCACCTGGAGAGGAATGTGATCGGCATCTCACTTAGAAGGGGCCTTGCAGCATTGTCCCACCTAGTTAGCACACAAACCATCTAAACCAGTGGTACAGAAAAGGATGAAAGTCTCAGCTACAGAAGGCCTACTTCAGGCGTGTTGATTTTGTAGCACTGGGGTTTGAACTCAGGGCCTTGCTAGGCAGGTGCTCTACCACTTGAACCACTCCACCAGCCTTTTTCTTGTGGTGGGTACTTTTGAGATAGGGTCTTGCCTATTTTGTTGGGGGTTGAGGTGGGACTGGGGTTTGAACTGAGGGCCTCACAATTACAGAGCAGACACTCTACCACTTGAACCACACCTCCAGTTTATTTTACCCTGGTTATTTTAGAGAAGGGGGTCTCTGGAACTATTTGTTTGGGGTGGCCTCGAACCTCGACAATCCTGATCTCAGCCTCCCAGGTAGCTAGGATTACAGGCACGAGCCACCTGTGCCTGGTGAGTTCTTCACCTTCCTTTTCTAAGTAGCATGGAAATGCACACCTGCGAATCCCAGCACTCAGGAGGCTGAGGCAGAAGAATTGCGAGTTGAGGTCAGCCGGAGCCACACAGCAAGACTCTGTTGCAGAAAACAAAACTTGAAAAATTCCATTTATGCTAAGTGTGAATTCTGGAGCCACCCCGCCCAGCGTATACCACATCCGTGCTGTGTATGCTACCCTCTCATTATTAATTAGTCCGTTAGTATCCATCTCAGTTACCCCTGATTGTACTAATAACGGCCCCACAGCACAAGAACAGTGGTGTGGCAACTTTGTTACAGTATATTGGTATAATCATTCTATTTTATTAGTTACTGTGTTCATCTCTGGCTGTGCCTAATTTGTAAATTAAACTTTATTATGGACACATACACAGAGCATATAAAGGGTTTAGTACTATCTGATTGCAGACATCTACTGAGCGGTCTTGAAATGTATCACCCATGGACAAAGGGGGTGCTACTGTACAACAGTTAACAGGAGTCAATGTGAGAAGACAATAAATAAATTGGGTGCTGGTGCTCACACCTGTAATCCCAGCTGCTTGGGAAGCTGAAATTGGGAGGATCAAGGATCAAGAATCAAGGTTCTAAGCCATTTGGGGTGAATAATTTGTGAGACCACCATCTCCAAAATAACCAGAGCAAAATGGACTGGAGGAGTGTCTCAAGCAGTACAGCACCTGCCTAGCAAATGTGAGGCCCTGAGTTCAAATCCAAGTGCCACCAAAAAAAAGAAAAAATAATGGTGAGCAAAAAGGGCAACTGGAAAATTGATGGTAAGCACAGAGGTGTTTATTAGTCTGTGTATTTTTGTCTTTGTGTGCATGAAAGGGTCTCATTGTGTTGCCCAGGATGGCCTCGAACTCCTAGATTTGTGTGGCCTTCCTACCTCAGGTTCCTCAGCAGCTGGGAATACAGGCACTCACCACCATGCCCGGTTCCTATATTTACCTTCTTTCTTACATTCTTGTGAAAAGTGCTCATGGCCCGACAGTGTGTGTTTGTGCTTAGCTGTCTGGTGCAGGCCTCCCTGGTAGAGAGGGCCTCCTGCTCCAGTAACCACCTTCCATTTCTAGTAACAGTCCACAGAGTTACTGGTATGGCTGAGCAATTTTATCTTCCATTTCTATGTTTTAGTTTCTGTTTCCCCTATCTGGTCCTTGGATTACTTTAATTTTACTTATTATTTTTTGTTTGTAGTACTGAGGTTTGAGCTTAGAGCCATTCTGCCAGCCCTTTTTTTTTTTTGGTGATGGGTTTTTTCAAGATAGGGTCTTGTGAACTATTTGCTTGGGGCCGGCTTTGAATGGAGAGACCCTCCTGATCTCAGCCTCCTGAGTAGCTAGGATTACAGGCACAGCTATTTTATTTCATTAATTTTTGTGATACTGGGGTTTGAACTCAGGGCCTTGCACTCGCTAGGTAAGCACTTTGCCACTTGAAGCACTCCGCCAGCCCAAGGATTATTTAATAATTTTTAGAAGTTCACTTAAATTTATCTTTTGGTTCCTGGCATGCCAAAAAATTAAATTAGAAATTTAAATAGTTTTGACTTTTAATTAAATCTCTTAGTATCTTTAACACTGCTGTATGAATTACAAAAATACATCCTTACTGGATGCAGGTCTGCCGAACAAGTGTAGAGCCCTGAGTTCAAACTCCAGTACTGTCCAAAAAAAAAAAAAAACAGTCCCCCCTTCTTGCCATGTGTTATGTCTATGCTTTTTTTTTTTTTTCCAGCAGCACTGGAGTTTGAACTCAGGACTTCACATTTGCTAGGCAGGCTCTCTACCACGTGAGCCATGTCCTCAGGCCTGTTTTATAATGGTGTTTTTAGAGATAGGGTCTCATGAACTATTTGCCCAGTTGGCTTCGAATAATGATCCTCCTGATCTCTGCCTGCTGAGTAGCTGGGATTATAGGTGTGAGCCATGGGGCCTGGCTTGAGTCTGGGTTTTAACCTGGTAGTGTGGAAGGATTTCCCCCGCTTCGAGAGTTGTCAGGGCGATCTCTGGGGAGGAGACAGGAAAGTGGATACAACTAACCTATCCAATACACAACTCATGTTCCTCTCAAAACCTATTAAGAGACCAACACTGATCCAGGCACTGGTGCCTAATGCCTGTAATTCTAACAACATGGGAGACTGAGATCAGGAGGATCAAGGTTTGAGGCCAACCTGGGTAAATACTTCTGGAAACCCTATCTCCAAAATAACCAGAGCAGGCTGCTAGAGTGGCACAAGTGGTAGACGGCTTGCGCCTGCCTAGCAAGCGTGAAGTCCTGAGTTCAAACACCAGTACTGCTCCCTGCCCCCCCAAAAAAAAAAACCCAAAATAAAACAGAGCAAAATGGACTGGCGGTGCAGCTCAAGCTGAAAGTGCCTATTGTGCAAGTGTGAAGTCCTGAGTTCAAAACTTGATCCCACCAAAATAAACACTGGGCTCACAGTCTACGTGAAGTTGACAGAATTTTTTATTCCCTCTCCTCAACTGGGGTTGAAACTCAGGGTCTCCTATTTGGCTCTACCACCTGAGCCACGCCCACAGCCCTTTGTATTTTATTTATTTTGGTGGTATGGGGGTTTCTTTGCCAGGGCTGGCCTCAAACTACAGATCCTCCTGCCTCTACCTCCAGAATGGATGAAAGTACAGCATACACCACCCACACCTGGCTTTTTAAAAACTTGTTCGTATTTGTTTAACAAGTTCAAAAACAAAGCCCACCTGCCCTCTGGGCCATCCCTTGGCACTTGGGCCTGAAATTACACAGTGGGTGCTGTGTATCAGGACCTTGTAAGGGCAAAACCCAAGTCTCTGAGAATGGACTGACAGAAAAGTAGTACCACCAAATGCATGTCAGCTAAGCACTCAGTGCAGAAGGCTCCCGGTCAGCACACTCCAGCCCTGTCTGTGGGGTGAGACTATCCTCTAGGACCTGGGCATGACAGTAGTGCCACTCCTAGGATTGTTTTGTACGTTGGCTACGTAACACTTTTGGGAGGAGGGGGAGTGTTGCATGGAGGCATTGGAGACTGGTCTATCTATGTAGCCCAGGCTGGACTCAAACTTGTGATCCTCCTGCCTCAGCTTCTTGAGTGCTGGGATTACAGGCAGGGTGAAAAGTGCTAGTACTTTCAAAAGGAGCAGTTCCGTGTGGCTCTGACTTGCCAACCGCCACCGAAGCCTCCACTTGTGGGGCTAATAGACACACCTGGACAGATATGAATTATCTGTCCTTACTAAAACACTGCAAGGAGCTGGTGAAAAGGGTCTGCCCTGCACGGGCAAACACAGAATGTAGGGCTGTGGCGGCATCGAGACCTGTGTTTTGTGCTGTGGTTTGACAACTTCGCGTGTTAGGACCTGGAGTTGAACTTGCACTTGCTTGGTGGGAATGTGGCCACTTGAGCCATGCCTGCAGGTAGGGTCTTGTGTTCTTTTGCCTGGGCCAGCCTGGTTCACAATCCTCCTTAATTGTGCCTCTTGCATAGGATGACAGGCACCACATCTCCTGGCTTATTGAGACTGGGTTGGGGGGAGGTCTTGAAAACGTTTTTCTCGGGCTGGCCTCAAACTATGATCCTCCTGGATCTCTGCCTTCCCAGTAGCTTGGGATTACAGGTATGAGTCACTGCACCCAGGCTGAGAATACATTGAGCCTCCAATGGCTTAAGCACCTAGCAGAAGCTGGCTCTACACATACCAGAGCCATCAGAAGAGGGGAATGGGAGAGTGCTGGTGGCCCCAAGGACCACTCACTTCTTTCAGTTGGTGACTCCAGCACTTCTGGTAACCACCCTTCTTCCCACGTGGACTGCACAACTCTCAGAGGGTCTGGAAAACACAGGCTACTCACTGTGCACCTATCTTCCTGGATTCTGAGGGAAATCGCTTCTATGATAACACACATGCAGAATGGGCGGACATGAAGTTTGCAGAAACTAGAGTGACATTTCTTGCCCCGAGCTAGTAGCTTCAAGCACTGCCTCTCCCATCTCCCCAGTCCCCAGGGGGAGCCTCTGTGGGTGACTCAATCTCTGCTATTAGAGGTACAGGATGAAAAGTTTCGCTAAGTGTCACATTGTGCAATTTTATCTGTGTTCAGGCCCACCTGCGCCCCCTTGTGACCAAAGGTGCACATTGCAAAGTCAAGGTTATAATTAGTGAAAAATTTCAAAGACCCTAGGCCGCAATAAAACCGCTGACCCTGGCGCCAGGACGGCACTAATGGCACCCAGAAGGGGAGCCCTGCAGACAAGGCCAGCCCCGCCCATGGCGGGAATGGGGACAGAAGGCTGGGAATGCAGTCCTCCTCTCAGGATTTCCCCATGACGGCAGCAGGGCTGAGGTAGGTCAGGGGTTGACTCATCTAGACCTCAAACTATTGTACGTCACGCACACAGGAAGGGTGAAGGGAGCTGGAATGCACTCCAGCATCTCAATCAATAAAGCCATGTGTTTGGCACATACCTGTGATCCCAGCTCCGAGGGAGGTACCTGTAGGAGGACTGCAGCCTGAGCCTGCTGCAGGCAAAAGTGAGATTTTATCTCATCAACTAAAGCAAAAACGTTTGGGGCCCCTGCCTGGGCAAGTGAAAGGCCCTGAACCTGGCTAGAGTCAGTGGTTGGGGGAACCTAAACTCCATTACTCCCCAAAAAAGGGGGCCAAGGGACTTATGCAATGCGTCATTACCCCAGGGCAGGGGCTCTGCCACTTGAGCCACTCTGCCAGGCGACCACCATTGTTTAGAGCAAGGCCATCATTGCCCACTGTGCCTAGCACAACGCTGGGCACACAGAGAACCTGAGCATTACAGCAGCACCTCCGTGAAGTCATTCCCAAACTCCTGCCACTGAAGACAGCCTGGATTTTGCGGAGTCTTTAACAGACAAGTGAGCCAGCAATACTGAGAACTTGAGCACGCCTAGAATGAGGATGGGAGTGGTTGGGGGAGCCATGAGAGGGGATGGGGTACACCTTCCTTAGTTCTGAAACGCCATCAGTGGACGATCCCCAAGTTTCTAAGGTGGCAGTAAAAGAAGCAGATTCTAAAGCAAAAAACTTTATTATCATTCCATATCAAAACCAAGGAAAATGTAGAAAACACGTACAACACAGACAGCTGCAACTCCCGGGAGAGTGAAGGACCACCCTGGGCGTAGTGCAGGGCCTTGGGGACCATGGCACCCCGTGGCCACACACTTGGTACTGGGGCATCTCTGGGTGATTCGGTCTCTGCTGTTACAGGTACAGCGTGCAAAGTTTTGACAAGTGTCACAATCCCTGGACGGAACCCAAGTAATCTACAACTGTAACTCAGAAGTGCCTGACAGACACTGCCCGCCCTTGCTGGGGTCTCCAGGTGTGAGAGGAAAGATGCCTGCCCGACCTGCTTTGTCCCTCGAGGGACACCTGTCTGATTCCGTGGGAGCCTCACCAGGGCTGGGCCTACTCCCCACCTGCAGTCACGCTCTCCTGGTGTGACGTCAGGTGGAGAGTAAGCCCAAGGAGGTGGCACTAGGCTCCTGAGCCAGGAGAGCTGCTAGTGGTGAGGACTCTCAGAGGAGAAGAGCAAGACACCTGCCGTGGGCCAAGGTCACTTCTCCTCCAGGGCTGCTGGGGCTCACTTGGGGCCCAGGCACTCCACGACTCCACTCCCCTTCAAGCCATCAAAAAAGAAGAAGTTGTTGTGAGGAGGGTCCCTCTGAGACAGGGCCTGGGGAGAGACAAAAGAGTGTCAACTCAAGGGCTTTAAAAGGAAACAACAGAGAAGAGAAGAAAGATGGTGAGGAAAATAACTAAGCAAATAAAAGTCCAGGGCAGTGGTGTCTCCACTTAGGTGGCTGTGGCTCCCCAGGGGCTCTCTGGTGACATCAGGGACAACTGTATCCTCTGTCTCTGCTCTGCCTCTGGTGGGCTGGGTGCCCTCGACAGCCTCTGGGAAGTTGGGAACTGAAAGGCAACACCCCTCAGGTACTTCACACTGGCCAGCATGACAGCACCACCGGGTGGACAGAGGGCACAACTGCTTGCTGTGGCTGAGGCTGGAGCCTTCCTCACCTGAGGGCACACATTTAACTGAGGGCTAGACACACAGTGCACAAGTGCTCCCCACGGAGACACAATGTGACTGACCTTCCCCAGGCCTGGGCCAGGCCAGGGTGATACCCCTCAGCTCTGGAACTGTGGTCATCCTGGGTCAGCAGGCCAGAGCCCTGGAGTTAAACACTTGAGTTCTATGCACATGCACTTCTCTAAGGAAAGAGCGCAAGAGAGGGCAAAGCTTGAAAAAGGACCTTAACCCAACCATCTCCAGGAGGCCATCACCTAAGCCAGCACCATCAGAAGAAAGGCGACCTTTGAAAGGAAGTTAGAGACAAAGCCCTAAGTGTCCTTGGCTGCTCCTTTGTAAATGGAGCCCATTGCATTCTGCTTCTTCATCTGTGAGGCAGGGACAATATCACACCTCAGCTAAGCCCGACTTCCCGAGTAGCTCTTCAGGGCTGGGTGCTGGTGCCAGGCATGAGGATGCGGAGAAGGTCCTGTGCCTGGAGTCTGGACCGCACAGAGATACGTCTCTGGGTTGTGTGTGTGATGGACAGACAGTAGCACCTGTCTGCCAGTGCTCTAAACTCTTGGTAACCGGGAGCTGTTCTTACTGGTGGGCAGCGAGAGAGGGTCTGCTATCTAGGGATGCCATACTGGGCCAGGTGGAAGGAAGGCCTACTGTGCCACAGCCACAACTCCAAGCTACTCTTGGACCCATCTTGCATCCATCTCTGGAGTCTGGAACAGAGCAGACTGATTCAAGCCAAAGCTAGATTTTATTAAGGCAAAAGTGACCATAATGCAACAGTCCACCTCCAAAGGAGACTCAGGGACGGCAGCTTGACGAAACAGTCAAGGCTCTTTCATTCTCCTTTTTTTGGGGGTGGGATGGGAACTGGCTTTGCACTCAGGGCCCATAGCATGCAGCATATACCCTGGAGCTACACTCGCACCATTTTTCACTTTGGTTTACAGACAGGGTCTCAAGCATTTGTCCAGGCACAGTCTTGGATCACTACCCTCCTACCTTTGCCTCAGGTGTAGCTGCAATTATAGATATGAGTCACCATACCAGGCTTCATTTTTATGTTTTTAGGGATGGGATCTTATTAGGTTGCCTAGGCTAGCCTTGAGCTTCTGGGTTCAAACAATCCTCCCCCCTTCCAGCTTCCTGAGCAGCTGGGACTCCAGGCATCTGTGCTGCCCTGCTGTGGACCTTGGGGATGGAGGTAAAGCAGCAGTGACTTCAGCCTAAGGCAGCATGACATGACATGACATGACATGACAGTGGAAGGATGCAAGGAAGGAAGGAGGAAGAGAAAGACCATCCCAAGGACTTTCCACATGTGCCCTACAAACCCTCCTTTACTTTTTATAGGGGGTCACATGAGCCTCTCACTGCAGGCTGCTCCTGCCAGCTGGAGTGCTGCTAAGTGTGGGGGACAGCAGGGATGAGAACAGGACACGGGGTGAGCGTGGGGCGAAAGGTAAAGTGCTCCCCCAGCACAAGGGGCAAGGATTCCACACACGCCCAGCAACCAAGAATGCCGAGTACTCGGGCTGTCTGCGTAAACAGAAACAAGATGCTGGGTGCCAGCTGTCCCATGCAGGCAGGGAGGAGGGGTGGCATTAGGACGGGATGCACAGGAGCGGCCACAAACAACGAAGGGAGGCCCCCTGCCCCAACTTCCACTCTACACACCAAGAAAAACCAGGAGCAGGATGGGGCACGGCTTTGGGCACCACTTCGCTCAACTTGTGGTTCCACCACTGCCTCTCCTGGGCAAGAACTTCACCTCTTGAAAGCGGGGTGTGGTGGTACATGCCTGTAACCCCAAGTCCTCAGTAGGGTGAGCAGGAAGATGGGGTGAGGTCAGCCTTGTCTCAAAAAAAAAATAAAAGAACCAGCAAAAGCCTTTTTTTTTTTGTTTTGGAGGTGCTGGGGATTGAACTCAGGGCCTCACACTTGGTAGGCAGGCACTCAACCAGCCCTTTCTTGTGTTGGGGCTTTTTCTTTTTTTTTTTTTCCTTTGCGGTACTGGGGCTTGAACTCAGGGCCTACAGCTTGAGTCACTTCACCAGCCCTATTTTTGTGAAGGGTTTTTCAAGATAGAGTCTCACTAACTATTTGCCTGGGCTGGCTTTGAACCACGATCTTCCTGATCCTCCAGAGTATCTGGGATTATAGGCGTGAGCCACTGGTGGCAGGCAAGGGTTTTTTTTAAAAAAATGTGGTGCTGGGGATGGAGCCAAGGCCTTGTGCTCGCCAGGCACATGCAGTACCACTGAGCTGCAGTCCCAGACAGCAAGCACAACACCTCACACACCCAGTTTTGGCAATACTAGCATTCGAACTCAGGGCCTCATGTTTTCAGCCAGGAAGCAAGCATATTTTGAGGCATGCTACAGTTTCACAAAGTCCAGAAGAGACTCAACCAGGTAGTGGGCTGTGTGACATGGCAGGAGTCTCTGGAGAGGATAAAAACTACTGCCCCAGCCATGGGCCACCCTGCAAAGCGCCGCTGGGGCTCATCTCTACAACTATGGCATGTGGGTATTAACGCTGGAGTGAAGGATGGAGGACAAGAGCACAGGGTTTGGGGTCTCTTTTCTGGGTCTCACTCAGTGTCCTTCTCGTATGTGGGGATTACAACAGTACTGGTTTCCTAGAGTGGGTAGAAGTGGAGAGACTGGTGCTTGTGCTGGCGCTACACAGCAGGCACACAAAGCTGTCTGCAGAGCAGCTCCGGTGCAAAGGGCCAGCATGGGACAAGGAAGAGGTCCAGCTCTCAGAGGCAGTCTTAGGTTCTTTCTGTCAGGGCATGGACAGGCGGGGGACAAGTATCTTCTGCTCCACAGTGTCATTTTACCTTCACAATCTCCTGTGCCAAGATCCCTCCAACCACGGCACACACCGGGGCCATCTCAGAGAAGCAGTACCTAGAAGAGAGGACAAGTGGGGACAAGACAGCTGAGGTGACATTGAAGCACAACACCTCTAGCAGGAGTACACACAGACAGCAGCATAAGGCTGACATCCAGGCGTGAAAATCAAACCTGACCCGGTCCTAAAGGGCTTGGAATGACCTCTGCACTTCACTGAGCAAGGATTGTCTCACACTTTTTTCCTTTCTTAAAGTTGTACGAAGGACTATATCTGTGCTTCCTAAAAATAAGGTTCTACAAATATCAGATGTTTCAGTGCCCCAGGGAACATTCCCGCAATTCCCTTCTCACCATGATGGGTGGTGGGCTGTGTATGCTATTCCCAGACAAATGTCAGGGAAGAGGCCTGTGCCACCCCGTGGGCGGCATGGGAAATGTGGGGCCTGAAATTAAAGCACAGAGCAAAACAAAGTCTTCACAAGCCACGGGGAAGCAGGACGTGGGCCAGGATGGGGGTCAGGGCATCAATCGTAGCTGCCACTTTCACCTGGCCCTGCAAATCACCAGCCTGGAGACCAAATCACATTCCACCCCCCATCTCCCCAGAGGAAGCAGCTCTGGAGCTCTACCAAACATGAGGAAGCTTGTGGAAGTGGGAGGTTTGTGGATATGGCGGGAAGGCTTCACTAGGAGCCTGCGGCAGGCCACCGTGGCACCTCCCACACCAGGGCGCATTCCTTCTGGACAGATCTCAGGTGTGCGATCTAAGCTAACATCACTGTAAAGGTTGCAACTCTCACTTATCCTGTTCTGTAAGCCAATGGTGGGTACTGAAGCTGTTCACATGGCAATCAGCCTTCTCAGCACAGTGGTCCAAAAGGCCCCTCAAGGCAGACACCCATCTACTGAGCACAGAGGTGCCCACATGTGCAGCCAAAATGCCTCCCCAGCCATCTGCTCCAATCACCAGCAGCAGTGTCAGAGAGCATCACCTCCTTGCACCCTGGCCAAGGTTGGTAAACAGCCTGGTGACTTTTCCTCTTGCTTTTTGTAGCCCACGAGCGATTTCTACCATTTACCACGTAGGGAGACACAGCAAAGCAAAACTCTCCATGCACAACCACACTCCTCAGACGATCAAGTGCTCTGCACACACACACCCTGTATGCTCTGTGACCACGATTCACCCTTTAATGTCCTCCAAAACAGGTCCAACGCCTCAGCAAAATACTAGGAAACCAAAGCAAAGATTACAATTAACTGGACTAGGAGGGAGGACTGAGGTTTGAGAGTCCATCTCCAAAATAACCAGAGTGAAGTGGACTGGTGGTGTGGCTCAGGCAGTAGAGCGCTTGCTCTGCAAGCACAAAGCCCTGAGTTTAAACCACAGTCCCACCAAAAAACAAAAAAAGGCAGGATTCAAGATGAACATATAAAAAACAATTGTACGTTCCACTAGCAAAGGCAGAGTATTCTGAAAATGAAATTAGAAAAACAACTCTACTTATGATAGCATCCAAACGATCATAATACTTAAGAACAACAAATTTAACAAAGAACTTAAACGCTGTTTAAAAAATTTAAGGAACACCTTAAAAAGTGGAAGATAGCCCATGTTTAAGCTGGTGGTATTGCCTCAATAGATCTGTACAGTTCAACCTAATTCCTATTAAAATTCCACCTGCCTTTTCTGTACAAATGGAAACCCACAGTAAATGTCCTGTTAGAAGGGAGCTCGGGATACAGATAAGAGGGAAAGCCCTTGCCAGCAGCACAGGCCCTGTGCTTGCTTCCACTGCACACACAATGAACCTGGGAAGATACTGAGGTTAGCGTGGCCCTGCCCAAAGATAACACACAAGTCTGGGAAGTGTTCCATCTTAAGACAAAATCATGTAAGAAGGAAGGCTGGCGGAGTGGCTCACATTGTAGAGCGCCTGCCAAGCAAGCGTGAGGCCCAACCAAAACCCAAAACAAGGCCAGGTGCCAGTGGCTCATGCCTATAATCCTAGCTACTCAGTAGGCAGAGATTTAGGAGGACTGTGGTTCGAAGCCAGCCCGGGCAAATAGTTCATGAGTCCCTATCTTGAAAATACTTAACACAAAAAGGACTGGTGGGGTGGCTCAAGATGAAGGCCTTGAGTTCAAAGTCCAGTACTGCAAAACAAAACAAAAAAAGTAACACACCATGAGGAAACAAGAATGAATTTTACTGCACATAAATCCAAATGACAAAAACTGAACAAGGGCTGGGAATGTAGCTCACAGCATGGGCCTAGCATGCACAAGACTGAGTTCTGCTTTATCACTGAGCTATACCCCCGGCCTCCAGAATGTGGGGCATTTCGTAAGACAACTGGCCTAGACTCAGAAAAACAAAGAGGTGAACCATTGGAAACTTGTCTCTGCAAAGTACCAGGCAATATTTTCAGTTACATAGACCATATGGTCTCTCCTACAACTATGTAACTTCACGGTAGTACCAATGCTGTAATAACATGCAAATAAATAAATATTCTAATAAAACTTTATTCACAGAAACAGGTGTGAAGCCAGTTTCTAAACCCTATTCCAGACTAACAGATAAAGAACCAAATGCAAAATGAACTTTTATATAGTATTAAGGATGTTACTATGATAACATGTACCCCATAAAACAAAAATAAAAAACATCAATTAACTCTAGCTGAGGGAATAATAGGATAGGTGCTCACCATTGTACTACTTTCTTTCAACTTTTCTAAATATTTGACTTTTTTGGTAATAAACATTTTTTCATTTTTTTGGCAGTACTGGAGTTTGAACTCAGGGACTCATCCTTGCAAAGGGCAGGTGCTCTACCAGTTGAGCCACTCCACCAGCCCTTTACTGTGATGGTTTTTTTTTTTTTTTTGAGATAGCCTGAGCTGGCTTTGAACAGTGAGCCTCCTGATCTCTGCTTCCTGTGATCCTCTGGGATTATAGGCGTGAGCCACCAGCGCCTGGCTAAAAAACCCATTTAGCATATATTAGCTGTCCAATGGGTTTCACTGTTGTATTTTCATACATGCTTACAATATACCTTGGTTAGGCTCAACCCCAATTAAACCAGCAAGTTGGGGCTGGGGTGAGGTCAGAGGCAGAGCCTATGTTTAGCATGCATGAGGCTTTGGGTTTGATCCCCAGACAAAACAGAATGCAGTAAGTCACAAAGGACTCACTGCAATTGCACTTTCAGGAGGTAGCTAGAGCAGTCAAAGTATTAGAGGTTCCTGGGCGGGAGGGGGAGCTAGTGTGACGGTTACACAGCCCTGTGAATGTCCTTAATGTCAATGAATCACACACTTCAAAATGGCTAACTTTGTCACAATGAAAACCTATAAACCACCTTAACGCCCACCAATCAGACAGGCTAATCATGTACCTAGACAGTAAACATGGAATACAAGCAATATGACCGGAGATTATTAATATAAACAGGTCTGTGACATGCTGGAAAAGGCTATCACAGAGTATAGACTGTGTACCTTTGGACATTTACACAAAGAAAAAGAACAGTGTTTGGGGCCATCCTTTTCTTCTGTTTTATTTTTCTGGCAATGGGCATCTGTTACTTTTGTAATCAGAACAGCAATAAAGATCGCTGAAAAGAGAATGAATAGCCTAAGACGAAGGCGAGTGCTGGGGCCACACCAGATGAAGTGCCCGGAGACTTGTGCACGGCCTCCCCTGCTCAGTGGCCACACGGGCCATTTGTGAGGGTGGCTCAGCTGTGAGATGGCAGTTCATCTCCTTGCCCTCATCCCCAGCCCATCTCAGGGCGTCTTGTGGCCTGTGTGCAGACAGCTTCAAGAGGCCACCAAACACCTCTCACTTAGAAGGCAATAGAGTGGTGCGCCTGAGCACATGAGACCTAGACTCGTGAAAACGGTTTCCACAGAGAGGGCAGAAGGACCAGCCAGTGCTCATTAAGCTGGGCCTGTCCCTTCTGGGAAGAGGGCTTTTAACTCCACTGGCCAGCGACACAGAGCCTGTCAACACATCACTCGAAATTCCCAAAACAAGCATTAGGCTGCACCCTCATGACCCAGCAGCCAGTCCCAGCCTACTGCTGGCTGTAAGTCTGCGTGTCGCAGGCCCCCTTCCTGCTCCAAGGCACAGGGCAGCAACACAGCTTCTCACACTGGTCCTTTTTCCAAGAGATGAGTGCCTGGCTGAGCAAGCATGACAGGGACCCCATCCAGCCCTGCAGTTCACCAGCCCGACTTCTGGGGCACCTTGTAGTCTGCGCCAAGTTTTAGATGATGCCTTTTTGGTTTAAGGCTGCTCTTGACTGGGAAGGGCTGTCTAACACATGCGTAAGGTTCCCCACCAGGAGGGAAGAAAGGAGGAACTAGAAAGGAAGGAGAAGGCTCTGGCTCACTTGACTGCTGAGAAGAAACTGAAGTGGCATGTGGCTGCCAGAGGGCATCGATGTGGTAAGGCCAGGTGGTATCTTGGTTGGTCAAAGCAATTGATGAAGGCTCTTTGGACCATTTCTTCATTTACATATGGAATTCAAGATATCCCTGTGGCAAGGAAACAAGGCTGGTGGGGAGGGGGTGGCTGCAGGACCTTGCACTAGCCCCTTCTCTCTCCGAGTTTCTGTCCTCCACCTACAAAATGCACTGCTGACAGCACTCAGAGACTGTGTAGATGAAGCAAATACTCTGGTGCCTGGCATGTCAAAGCTGCTCCAGAAACTGTCACAAGAAAACAGCAGCCATTGCCAGGGGTGCTACAGTCTGGAGGCACAGCAAAGGAGTTTAGGACATCCTCAAAGACAAAAAGGGAACTGGAACAAGTGGTCATCCCAGAGCTGCTGGAAAGGCGTTCGTGACCATTTGGTGTCCTACAAAATCCTGGCCTGTGTGTGTGAGCAAAAGACTGTCACCTAGGTGAAAGTGCTCCGTGCCCAGGGGAGAGGATGCAGAGAACTTGGAGATCTGCTGTTGGAGGTACAAAGCGACAGGCTACAGCGGAGGACAAAGTGTCAATAACCACCAGATGAGAAACTACCTTCACACCCAGCAACTCCCTTTCTACTTGTGTATCTGGCAGCTGCACCTGCACACGTGTGTACAGTGGGCCACAGCGTCTAACATAACATGACACACTACAGCGTCACGTAACCACGAAACCCTGAAACTCCAGTGACCAGGGAACAGGCTTAGTAAAGCGTACTGCTCCATGAGCTGGACGCTATAAAACTGTAGAGAGGAAGTTATGTGCAGATCTGGAAATGTCCCCCAAACATACGGCACAGTGACAGAGAAAGGTGTAGGCAAGTGCTGACAGATCTTCCGCGGCCTGGAGCTCCACATCACACGCTAGAACTATTACTCTGTACTGTCAGACACAAGCCTGTGCCTCTCCCCCTTTCTCTTTTGTAACAGTCTTACTAAGCAGCCTGGGCTGGCCTTGACCTCTCCATCCTCCTGCTGGGAAGGCAGCATGGAGCCTTTCTTCCAGCCTTTGGGTCCCCATAAAGATCTCCTCAAATCGAAGCAGATGCTGAAAACAGATGTTTGCCTGCCAGGCTAACCTTGGATCAACACTGACACCAACCTGACAAAGTCGTCGGGAAGCAGGTTGGGACTGACGCCCAGTGACTCGAGAACATCATTTCGGATCTGGAGCAGCAGTTCCGAGTCCTCCCTGTGGGTATCAGAACTGGGGTCTCTTCCTTTATCTGTGCGGAACTTCAGGAGCACTGAGAAAGGGAAAGGAAGGGAGGTTAGAACCAGTCTCTCCATAACGACACTTGCGGATGTAACTCAGAAACTTGTTTAATCTGTAGGAAACAGTACATGATTTAAAGTGTGGGCCAAGTTTAGAAAGCTAATACACTGCTTATCAAACAAATCCAGCCAGAGGCAACCAATTACCAAAACAAATAAAGGGCTCTGATACCAGAGGCTGGGGCTGTGGCAGGTAAGGCTTCCCCAGGGAAGCAAAAAGTGAGTGAGGCGTGAGTGTGTGTGGGAGGCGTGCGTGTGCAGAAGCCTTCTGCAGAGGAAAAAGGTCCCGTTCTGACCCAGAGCAGAGATCGGGGAGGGCAGTGTGCGTTCCAGGCATCAGTTCAAAGGGATGTTCAGCCTTATAGGCCAGCCAAATACTCAGTCATCAGTCGGGCAGGTCACTATAAACAAAGCCTCCCTTAACGCAAGAACGATGTCAGCCTCTAGAAACAGATGTTAATTTTGGTTGCAAACCAGGGCAAAAGCTTGGAGTCAGAGCTACAGTGGCAGGAGAACCCCCACAAGGCTAGAGCTTTTAGCCCACAAACACAGCCAGGTGCATGATACAGCTGACCGTAATACGATCATTTGCCAGCATGGCCCCTTGTCCCTGATGCTATCTGTGTGGTTGGTGGGCAGGCATTTTTGTTTCCCACCTGTTCCCGCCCCCAGCAGAGAGCTAGCTGGCCTGAGCCTTGTTCCTAAGGGTAACACTCTTTCTCCCATGGCACACAGACTACTTTGGAGTGGCAGTAGCGACACGTGGCTCGGCTTCTAACCCAATCCCTGGGTGCTCTGGAACAGCACCTAACACCTGGATAAGGGGCATCATCAGTATCTGCAGATGCTAATAAACTTTATTGAACAAGTTACACTATCAGTACAAAGGGCTCTCCCTCAACAGGCTGAGCAGCTCTGTTCATTCACCTGTGTCACTGAGCACTTGCTCCATGCTAGGGAGACCCAGGTGGTAAAGGGACAGCAGTGAGGGGCGAGTCCTCATCTCCTCAGCTGCGGAGCTGATGGCTGGGGAGCACATCATGACTGAGAACTCAGGAAGCACAACACGACACCACTGAAGCCTAAGACGAGTTCCGAAATGGGGCATGAGGTGGCCCAAGACTGCAAACACCGCTGTGGGGCCATGCTGCCTCGGCACTCCCGCCCTGTTTCTTGCTAACACTCCCAGCTCCAATATTGGTCCCTGCACACTAAAGGTTAAAAAGGCCCAGGGACACCTACTTACTCTAAATACTGTTTGCTGTCCAGGAAGCCTACACTGTCCTTCAAGGACATGACTTCTGGAGCCCTCACCATGACCGGACTGCTCGGCAGGCACCTCCAACATGACTACACTGGATGCTGGTCTGACAGGTTCCTCTGCAGATGAAGAAAGCAAATGCATGCTGGCAACCTTCTAGGGGCTGGGGGAGATAGGACAACAGGAGGGGAGGAACTTCCTGCTTAGAACAAGCCTCTTTCCCAACAGTGTCCCAGGAAAGCAAGGCAATCCAGAATCAGCTGGTCCTGAGGACTCTCCAGGTAGACCACACGGAATGCCAGAGACTTTCTGTCAGACTCCTGAGGACAGGGCATCAAGAACCAGAACAGACACCAGCGCTGCTGCAGCAGAGGACAGAGGCCTCTCGAATGGCATAATCCAAGGCCAGGGGCTCAGTGACAGCCAGGAGCCCTATGACGGTGGCTTTCTGCACCATCTCATTTCTGTGTCACTGGGATAGAAGCACTAATTGTTACGAGGGACCAGGATGTACCAGTCTTTTCAGCCCTGGCCACAAAACTTTTCATGTTTTGGTTACAAAACAGCTCTGGGAGCAAAGCCCAAACCATTACAGTACCTGCTATGCCAGAGACACACATCACGACGCATGTGTGACCACTCAGCCCATCTTCACAAACACGATGGGGGAACATGCTAACTACAACTGCTTTTCTACTTGACAGACAAGGAAACCCAAGTTCAGAGACATGAAGTGACAGCTTGCTGCAACTGCTAAGGAGCAGCAGAGAAGAGGTGTAAGCTCAGATTTGGCTTCTTAACTCGCCTGAACTCCAGAAGCATGCAGGAGCAGGGCACCAACATGCCACGTGGCGTGGCTTCGTTGCCCCCATCTCAGGAGGGCCGGTGTTGTGAGACGCTCTTTACAGACAGGCCTGACCTCTCACAAAGGGTGCAATCATTGTTAGACACTAGCCCAGTGGGTGAGCAGTGGAAGTGGTCATGCACAGCCCTGCCCATCAAGGAGACTTTAGGGAACAGCAGCTTTGTCTCAGAAAGAACAAGATGGCACTTCGAGGGAGAGCCAGGGCAGCCAGCAGGCGGCCTGCTGTTTCCCTGGGCCCCTGGCCTGTTCTTGATGTAGTCTGCCTGGATGAGGGCCGGCAGGCTGGCACCGTCCACATACCTCGCTGACCACATCTGAGGCGCTCTCAGGGCCACTGGGAAAGGGGCCAGCAGCTGGGCCACTGATTTGCAGTAAAGAAAACAGAAGCTTGTCTTTTTCACTCTTTTTTCAGAGTCAGCACTCTAGTGAGCAGGGGTGGAGGGGGTGGGAAGAAACCCATGTTCTAGAAAGGCAGCAGCCTCAGGTCTGACCCTAGACCCTGACAAGCTCTTGTGTATTAGATTTCCCTATTTGTTCTGCTTTCCACTGCTCCCAAAAACCAGACAGACAGACACCTCCACCCCCACCATGTTGACTCTGCATTTCTGAAAAGCACCTCCCTACCGGTTTATGGATTATAAACCCGTCTGTTAAGATCAAACACTGTCAGGGACGGAGGGCTGCTCTGCCAAGAGATGACTCATCGAATCGTATCCAAACACTGCACAGAATTAGAGTTCCAAACTTGATTAACTTCATCTGAACCTTTTAATTAGCTCAGGCTGCTTAAGTCCAGGGGGATGACATTCGTGGCTGAGACTCAGGAATTGTCCATGTAGTGGGAAGGGCAAACATTCTGATTACAAACACCTTTTCATGTGTTCACAGGAAAAAGCTGGATGTGTGAACACACCAGTACCTCTGCAGGTATTTAAATACATTCAAACCTAGAACAAATTTACAGGAATTTACAGTATCCGGTTAGCCTGCAACATGACATGACTTTGTGCTACAATATTGGTAATCCCTATTTCTTTTTGTAACTTTTCTTTCTCCCTTGAGACAGCATCTTGCCTAGGCTGGCCATGAAATTGAAATCCTCTTGCCTTAGCCTCCAGAGTGCTGGAATTATAGCTGTGCACCACCATGCCTGTCTTTCTTTCTATAAACTTTTTGCTGTGTTCAGATATTGTGATTGTAGGGGCTGGGGATGTAGCTGACTGGTAGAGTGCTTGCTGAGCATGTGGGAGGCCCTGGGTTCCGTCACCTGCTCAGCAACAAAACAGAAATAATCTAATGTTGTGATTCCATTTAATGCAATCTCTCTAAGGCCACCAAGAAAAACAAAAACAAAATCCAGCATTCTATTCTTTTTTTTTTTGGCAGTACTGGGGTTTGAACTCAGGGCCTGCTCTCCTACTTGAGCCAGTCTGTCAGCCCCCAAACAAGTATTCTAATAGACAGAAAATGAAGTCAGTGTCACCAATTGGTCTCCAAAGACCATCTCCCTGTTGATGCCTAAAGCTCCTCTGACCAGACACCCTGACCCTGAATTTCATGCCCCCCAATGAAACAGACCCCTTTTCTCCCTGCACTGGCTTGCTCGGTGCTAACTCACTGTCTCTGGGAACAATCTGGAAATCAGCTCTGCTCTAGGGTTGCATACAGGGCCAGGGAAACATAAGCTTAACCAACAGTCACATATTCTTTTGTTTTTTTTTTTTGAGACAGGGTTTCACTATGTCACCCAGGCTGGTTTTGAACTCCTGCTTCAGCCTCCTGAGGGTTGACACTAGAGGAATAGGCTCATATTCTGAGGTAAAACTCTAGGCCTGACAATTAGCCATTGGGTTTCAGTAAATGCTACTGAGTGGTGACTTCAGGCTAGGACCAGGTTGGGCAGGGGAGAGCAAGATGGACACTCACCCTCCCAAGAGCACTCTGTCAGAGAACCCACTGGGTCACACAGGAAATTACAAACGTGCAGCAAGACAAGACACTGGCAAGTGGGACTGGAGATATAGCTCAGTGATAGAGTGCTTGCCTGGCATACACAAGGCCCTGAGTTCAACTCCCAGCACCAAAAAAAAAAAAAAAAAAAAAAAAGGCACTGGCAGGGCCTTAGGGGTTCAACAGGTAGTCTTCTGTGCAAACAGGCTGCCACCACTGGCAGAAGCACATCAGTCCTCCCACCTTGTGGCCCGTTGGCTCATGCCACTGTGCTCTAGGCTGCCATGACCATCCCAAGCCTGGAGTCTTCAAGCTGCAAGGTGTCACAGTATAGCAGGGAGCAGCATGGCTCCAGGGCCAAACCCCCTGGGCTGGAACCCCAGGTTCCCAATGTGACCTTGGGCCAAGTGACAACATCCCTAGGTTTCCTGTGGAAAAGGGGGATTCTGGGATGCTTTGCTGCTGGGGCTCAAGGGCCCAGTGAATGGGTGTGCATGAAAAATGTAGGACAGGACAGAGCCGGTGTAGTGGGAGCATTTGACAGTATCGTTGCCTCCCTCCCACACATCATTCACAAAGCCGGGCCATGCACCAGCTCCTACTGAGCTCTCCTCCTACTGAGATCACCCAGTGGACTCGGCCATGAGCACTCTGGACACTCAAGGCTCAGGGCCCTCTGCAGGTGAGGTCCCTCCACCATGGCACAGAAGGTCAGTTGCTCTCACACTTCCACAGGGCCTGAGGTGGAGCAGGTTCTGTTTCTTATCAAGTATTTACAAACACGCTAACCCCATGAAGGAGAGAGGGGAGAATGTGAGAGACAAAGGGACCTAATCTGTCCACAAGACAGAAGTAGCACTTGCAAAGGTACACCCCGGCTGCTCTGAGTGGGGACA